CAAAGATGTTTTTTTTGTATTTTGCAAGAGCGCGAGAAGTCACACTGAATGTAGACTCGCGAAGCAATTGGGCGGGTTGCGCCATCTATGATGGATATGGTTTGCTTCTGCGAAACACGGGCCGCGACAACAGACGTCTTTCTGGACGGTGGGCACCGTCTGTTCTGTAGCCTCGAGGACTCCTGCCATCTTGGTGTCGGCGTCTTGCTCCATGCAGATTTCCTCTCCACACCAGTCATGTTGAACGCCGTTCAGACCGGGCGATTGCCGTGGACGTCCACGCGCACGGCACGGCGATCCGCGCCATACTAGCACGCGCTCTTTCTTCATTGTGGGTACAGCCAACGAATTTGACGCTTTATACTCCTATGTGAAAGATTCATTCAAAGAGTGGCAGCTCACGGGCAGATGCGTCGTGAATGGTGGCGATTTCAATGCGCAGGTAAACGTTGGCAGTAGGGGCGAACTACTGCGCGAGTTTGTCACCGAGTTCAACCCGTCCGCTCCTTCAGACAACGGCGAGCAAGCCGAGGAAAAACGCGGACCTTCAAAAGCGCGCTGGGATCACGCGTCAATAAGAATATGCGCTGGTGGGCAAGAGCATGGCAGTCGCCAGGTGCGAGGCTTCCAGCGACCTCGACTGCGGGTTGCGTTTACATCTGCGAGCGCGCCCGATTTTCGCCGACGACGGGGCAGAGAACGAGAAATATGCTTGCAAGGTGCGCAACGCTATGGGGGCGCATTGGAAAATGTGCTTTCGACCGCTCAAACTGGCGCCTCCGCAGGCGCGCGGGGCAGCCGCGGAGGGCGGCGCCGCTCAAAGGCAGTGCATCGCAGAGAACAAGCCGCGGGATTTACCAGAACTCAAGGAACTGCGCGCTGACCGGCGCCAGAACAAAGACCTGGCGGAGCGAAGGCGACCGTCGGAGATTGTCGCGACTGAAATGCGGAGATTGCTCTGGCAGCGGCCGACGCGGCGTTTGCAGGAACAGACAGCTTTCGAGACATGAAGAAACTTGCTCACATTTGTTCTGGTCCAATCCGAGGAAGAAATGCGGCGAGCCCTTCCAATTGTGCTCTGGCCGCATGTTGGGGAGATGCGTGAGCGTGCGTCGGGCACGGGTGACCTCGCGGTTGGCGACCTGGCTCCACTGGCGGGCAGTCCAGCTTCCTGCATTGAGGAACTTAGTTAGGCTCTCTGGCAGATGGCCGCGGGGAAGTCGGAGGACAGGCACGGGGTGGCATTGGAGATATTGAAGAACAGCAACCGCACCACGGAGCACATCTTCCTCGCGACTTTTAACCGCATCCTGAGCTCTGGAGACATGCCGCCAGAGTGGAGCGAGCTCATCTTCATCGCGTCACCGAAGGCCGGGGGCCCACTTGACCCCAACACATGGAGACCGATCGAGCACGCCACGACACCAACGACAAGGGGCAACGCAATTGCACAACGACTGCAAACCAACGTGACCCAGCGACCACTAGCATGGCAGCACGAGCACATCTCAGCAAAAAGATGCGCAAATAAATCAGGGGAGTCAAACGATCCAGTCACAGGACCGCAGTAAGCAGCGCGACATGATCCTGGGGATGGCCGACGCCGAATGCCACGCGCAACGCGACAGATACACCATAGCAGACGCATTTGCTGACTTCATGCGGTTTTCTACCGAGACGCGCCGAAGGACACCCAGCAGCACAATTGCCAGAATGGAGCAGGACAGATTCCCCCCTGCTCCAACAGCGAAAGAATTTTCGCTCTCCGTCAGCTAAAGACAAGCCGCGCACCAGACACCAACGGCATTTTGGCAGAGAAGGAGGGGGGGGCGCATTCAAGACAGTCATGCTGGGCACGGTCATCAACGACGCACTGCGCTCTGATTCACCCACGCCCTCCAAATGGATACGGACCGCCATCAAAGTATTGCACGAAAGCGGCGACCCGATGCGACCAGAAAACTACAGATTTATCGCGACTATGCTGGTGCTGTACAAACTCTTCTCCAAGCTCTTGCCCAACCGCCTGCGTGTTCAACTAGGTTGTCATCAGAGCCCAGACCAAGCTGGCTGGCTTCCGACCCAACAGGAGCACAACCGACGATTCGTTCACAAATGCCATCTTGATGGAGTTATCGGACCAATGGCAGATCCCTCTCTGGACTGCGGCAATCGGTTTCAAGAAAGCACTTGATCGCACCGCGCACGCGGCCATATGGAAAGCCCTAGAATACCAACAGGTACCAGTTCCATACATCACCCTGCTCCAGAAGTTGCATCACTAGCAGACGGCCTCCGTCAAAACCGACCGCTGTCAGCAAGGAATTCGAGATTAAACCCGGTACAGAACGTGGAGATCAGGTAAGCTCGCTACTCAAATTGTGCCCCAGGGCACATCATGAGACGGGCGGAGACAAAATGGACAGCCAAGCGGCGCGGGATCACGCGTCTACCAAATTTCGACGACATACTGAACAATTCACGACTTGCCGACAACATCTCCCCCATTGAACGATACAGCAGCGACGTGGCCAGCGCGCCTTCCGACATCAGAACCAGAGCAGCAGACGCCGGTCTACTACTGCATCCTGACAAGACCAACATGTTGCATGGCGGGCACAGGCCAAATCGATGTCAACAACCGGCAACCCTTGTCTTCGATCGCTTGATAGGAGTGATCCCACCTGACCAAGCTGCGAAGTATCTGGAACGCAAGATCCAACGCAGCGACAGCCACAAGACGTAAGTGGAGAACCAGGTAGCTTCGGCTTCAGACAGTTCAACTCGCTTAAGCAAGATCTCACTGGAACACATTATTCACTGAACAACCGTGTCCAGTTTTTCCACTGGACAATTATTGCCTTACCGTTGTATGGATGCGAGGCCTGGGCGAGCAGGAGCTCGATAATGGTATGCGAAGGACGCAGCGACACATGCTCCGGATGATAGTCACGACGAAGGGTTGCTGGCAGTCACGAGCTAGAGCGGGAACAGGACGACGCCGGCGGCAACGACGCCAGCGACAGGAACGACGAGGATTCCAAGTATTCCGACACCGACAGCGGGGGAGATGTAGACAGTGGGCCACCATCCGCCCTACCAGCAGCAGACGACCTCGAGGGTGCCGACCCGCTCGAGCCCTGGCCAGACTGGATCAAGCGAGCAACTCTGCATGTGGAACCTGCGGTTTTAAAACTGGGTGCTACATATTGGACCAGAACTGTCAGACAGCGCAAATGGGAATGGGTCCAAACGGCTGCCACCAGCACTACAAAATAATGGGCACGATCGGTTTTGCAATGAGAACAAGGCGCGATATGCACGCGCAGGTCCTTTGTCCGTCCTCTGCGCTGCGCGTGTGTGTGTGTGTGTGTGTGTGTGTTTTTGTGTGTGTGTGTGCGTGTGTATTTGTGTGTGTGTGAGTGTGTGCGTGTGTGCGTGTGTCTTTGTGCGTGTGTGTGCGTGTGTACTTGTGTGCGTGTGTGCGTGTGTGCGTGTGTGCGTGTGTGCGTGCGTGCGTGCGTGTGTGTGCGTGTGTGCGTGTGTGTGCGTGCGTGCGTGCGTGTGTGTGTGTGTGTGTGCGTGTGTGTGTGCGCGTGTGTGCATGTGTGTGTGCGTGTGTGCGTGTGTCGTGTGTGCGGTGTGCGTGTGTGCGTAGTGTGCGTGTGTGCGTGTGTGGGTGTGTGCGTGTGCGTGTGTGCGTGTGTGTGCGTGTGTGCGTGTGTGTGTGGGTGTTGTGTGTGTTGTGTGTTGTGTGTGTTGTGTGTTGTGTGGGTTGTGTGTGTTGTGTGTGTTGTGTGTGTGTTGTGTGTGTGGTGTGTGTTGTGTGTTGTGTGTTGTGTGTGTTGTGTGTGTGTGTTGTGTGTTGTGTGTTGTGTGTTGTGTGTTGTGTGTTGTGTGTGTGTTGTGTGTTGTGTGTTGTGTGTGTTGTGTGTGTTGTTTGTGTGTGTTTGTGTGTGTGTGCGTTCGTGCGTGCGTGCGTGTGTGTGTGTGTGTGTTTTGTGTGTGTGTGTGTTTGTGTGTGTTTGTGTGTGTTTGTGTGTGTTTGTGCGTGTGTGTGTGTGTGCGTGCGTGCGTGCGTGCGTGCGAGGTGCGTGCGTGCGTGCGTGCGCGTTCGCGTGCGTGCGTGCGTGCGTGCGTGCGTTCGTGTGTGCGTGCGTGCGTGCGTGCGTGCGTGCGTGCGTGTGTGTGCGTGCGTGTGTGTTGTGTTGTGTGCCTGTGTGTTTGTGTGTGTGTGTCTGTGTGTGTTTGTGTGTGTGTCTCTCCTTCTCCTCTTTCTCTATTTTTCCTTCTCTCTCTGTCCCTCTGTGTTTCTTGTCTTGTTTCGCTTGTGCTTTGTCCCGCCGCCATTCATTGTCACTCATAGAGGTGCCCCGGCGCCCACGTGCTGTGCCCCCGCGGCACCTCGACTGCAGGCCGATGTCCGATGTCCGATGTGGGTTTTGGCCCTCGGGGGCGGCGGGGAAACATGACATCGAGGGTCCTTCCTGCTCCTCCTGAGCTTCCACATTCATCGCGCATTGAAATCCGACTTGTCCTTGACCCAACGCGGGTGGTTTCGCCCACATACCATCACGAAGTTCGCGTTGGTGCTATAGCCGCCATCAGGCGCCAGCCCGTGCAATAGTAACTGAATCACCGAGGCCCAAGCTACGGGCGTTGTTCTTCTTTCCCCTCCTCCTCCTCCTCCTCCTCCTTCTCCTCCTCCTCTACTCCTTCCTCCTCTTCCTCCTCCTCCTCCTCTTCCTCCTCCTCCTCCTCCTCCTCCTCCTCCTCCTCCTCCTCCTCCTCCTCCAACCCCCCTTCCTTGCCTTCCCTTTCGCTCCTCCGCCCCCTCACAGTGTCGTGTCTCGTGTCTGCGCTTTGGGCTGTCATTGCTTCCTGATCGGCCCCGTCCTCCTCCTATTCTCCCTCGTTCCACCGTCGTCGGCCTCCGTTCGAGAGTCAGCAGCATACTGCGGGTCGGCGTTGGTGGGGGGTGGGAACAAAAACTATTCCACCCCCCCTCTCGTCGTAGCCCTCCCTCTCCAATATTGCCACCGTGCTCAGAGTATTGCCGCCTGACCCCCTTCTGCAGCGCCAGTCGCAGCACCTCCGTCGGGGCGCGTTCCGCAATGGCCGCCGCCGCGCCTCCCCCGCACCACTCGGAGGAGTCGGCCCTCTTCTTCGTGCCGAAGAGGCTGGACCTCGAGGTCGGGGTGGGCCCAGAGCGGCAGAAACATGGCCCTGGCTCTGGATCCGCAGCTTTTTGGTTGATTTTCCGCCCCGCAAGTGTGCCAGAAATGCACCCCAAACGGAGCGACAACGTAGGGCGGAGATTGCCGCCTCGGAAAAAAATGAGCCACCTGTTGAGAAGGAGAAGGCCTTCTCAGAAGGCGGCGGGGCTTCTCAGAAGCCCTCGCGCCTTCTGAGAAGTGCTCTGCGCCTTCGGGGGAGGCTCAGGAAACTTCTCGGAAGGCCAGGGGACTTCCGAGCCTTCTTGGAAGGCCCGTCTTTTCTCACTTCCCCCCTGGAGTCTTAGGTCGGCGCTGGATGCTCCTCCCCGTCCTCGGCGGCGCGCTCAGGAGGGGAGGCAGAGCTTGGCGGACCTTCTCGGTCCGAAGCCCCGCCGCCTTCCCAGAAGGCCCGCCCGCTCCTCACCGCCCCCCTCGGCGCGCCGCCGCCATCCCCCCTTGGGCGCGCGGAGCGCGCCGGAGGCGCCGCCAGGGGCAGTGGAAGGAGTGCCCTGCTTCGTTTCCTCCTCCTTCGGTTCGTCTCGCTCGTTCCGTCAAGTGTCGCTTCGTCCTGGCACGTCTCGTCTTCCTTGGGTTCGTCCGTTTCCCGGTCGTCCGCTTTCGTTTCGCCCTCGTCTGGTTCGGACCTCCGAATCACCCGCCCTCGGCGCGCTGAGCGCGTCAGGGGCGCCGCCCGAGGGTGGTGGAAGTGGTACGATCGATTCTCGGTGGGCCGGCCCAAGAAGCCCGCGCGGATCTCCGAGGGGCTGCGTTTGTGCCGACGCCTGCCTCTCCAGAGGTGCGCTCTCGGGATCGCGTCAGCGCGGCCGCCCCGATGTTCTGGGACGTGCCGGGCGAGCACGGCAGCGGTCTCCTGGACGAGCTGGACTCGCTGGACTCGCTGGACGTGCCTGCGGCCTCCTGGACGTGCCTGCGGGAGGCGGCCGGGCTGGGCGAGATGGACTCGCGACGCGGCGTCGGGAGGAGGGGGGGGGGGGACGAGGCGACACCTCCACCAGTGGGGCCACCTCCAGCGATCTACGATGCCTCCCCGAGAGGGGGGTGGGGGATGGCTCGGTAGAGGGCAGCGGGGGGGCGGCACACCCTGGCGCCCCACGCTGGTGGCGGTGGTGTCGCCTCGTTCCTAGAAGGAGGGTGAGGGAGGACTGCGGAAGAAGGATGGCAGACGAGCCGCCGAGGGGGTGCTGTGGTCCTTAGCCCCCATTAGGGGGAACCACCGGCTTCGACATCACTCTCGATTGATCTTCGATATAGCTGGCTCCCGACACAGAGTTCCCCCGATTGTGGCTGGTCGGAATGGAGGAGGACAAAAGAATGATGAAGAATTGATGATGGAGGAGCACGGGGGGATTGGGAATAGCACGCGGTCAATAATAAGAAAACCGCCAGGTAAGACAGCTGACAACACAGCTGGGATCCCAAACCAATAAGGACGTAGCCGCTAAAGTGCGTAAAATGCACTACGTAACATCCAACACGTAAAGTGCATAACGTAAAGTGCACCACGTAAAACACGTCGTAGCATACACGACGTAAAATACGCAGCACCCCGCAGTTGCGGATAAAAGTGAGGGGTCGGCGAGGACGTCGTCAGTCTGCGAGGCTCTGAAGAAGCCCGCCGCAGGCGCCTAACTTTTACAAATTATGTAGTGAGCCCGCCGCACTCGCCGATTTCTTCGTTAAAGCAATGTGGGTGGATCGCGGGGTGGGTCGCGGGGTGGGTAGCGGGTGGGTCGCGGGTGGCTCGCGGGGTGGGTCGCGGGGTGGGTCGCGGGGTGGGTCGCGGGTGGGTCGCGGGTGGGTCGTGGGGTGGGTCGCGGGGTGGGTCGCGGGTGGGTTGCGGGGTGGATCGCGGGTTCGGTCGCGGGGTGGGTCGCGGGTGGGTTGCGGGCAGGGTGACGGGGTGGGTCGCGGGGTGGGTCGCGGGTGGGTTGCGGGCGGGTGACGGGATGTTTCGCGGGGTGGGTCGCGGGGTGGGTCGCGGGCGGGTCGTGGGCGGGTCGGGGGGGGGACGACGACAACAACAACAACAACAATCATTCTAAGACTGTTCGTTCTTACTTGCCCGCGTGTCATTCAAAACGAGGTCCCCACACCCTCGATACCCGCCCTTTTTGTCTTCGATCACACCCCCTTTGGGGGGATTATTTCTCTTTGCGGGGGGCGGCGGGCTTAGACAGGCGGGCAAACCCGAACGGGCGGAGAATCCTTCGTGGGCGTACATGTGCCCGCCATTGGAATTGGTGTGGGCCCTGCAAAAAGAGGAGGGAGAGAACGAGGGAGAGTGGGAGCAAGGGAGGGGGAGGGACGAAGGAAGAGGGAGAACACCAGGAGAGAAGGAGCGAAAAGGGGGGCGGTTGATTAGAGGCAGAGAGAGAGAGAGAAAAATACAGATAAGAGAGGTAGAGACAGAAAGAGAGGGGAGAGAGAGAGAGAAAGAACTAAAGAAAGAAAGAGGGAGGGAGGAAGCAGGAGAGGGGAGGGAGAAGGGAGGAGGGAGAGGAGGGAGAGGGGCAAGTTAGGTGCGCTCGCGTCAACATCTGACATCCTACCCCTCCCTCCCATCCCTTACCATGGCGCTGATTTTCTCTATCCGCGGACGCGTGTCGTAGCGGACCTGTGGCTCCGCGCGCGTGTGCGTAGTGGGAAGTGGTGCGCGTGCGTGCGTGCGTGTGTGCGTGGTTGTGGTTGTGGTGGTGGTGTGGATGTGTGTGTGTGTGCGTGTGTGCGCGTGTGCTGTGGTGTGACGTGGTGTGGCGTCTTGGTGGTTTGGTGGTGGGCCAGGTGCGTGCGTGCGTGATGGCGGTGGTGGTGGTGGCGGTGGTGGTGTGTGTGTCTGTGTGTGTGCGTGTGTGTGCGTGTGTATGTGTGTGTGCGTGCGTGCGTGTGTGTCTGTGTGTGCGCGCGTGTGATGTGGTATGACGCGGTGTAGCGTGGTGGTGGTGGGTGGGGTAGTGCGGTGGTGGTGGCGGTGCGCGGTGGTGGTGCGCATGCGTGCGTGCGTGCGTTGGTGGGTGGAGGTGGCGGTGGGTGTGCGTGCGGCGGGGCTGGGCGTGGTGCGGCGCGGTTGTGCCAGGCGGATGGGCGCGCGAGAAAGAGGCCCGCGCTGTTGCGAGAACGCCATCCTCAACGACGGAGGCAAAACACCGATCCGAAAATGAGGCCCACGCTGCAGAGGGAGCACGATTCGGAACGATTCGGGAGCAGAAATGAGGCCGGCGCCGCAGCGAGAGCAGCATTTCTGACAAAAAAAAAGCATGCGAAAACCCATCTCCGGGGAATCGTGTGTGTAAAAAACAGTACGGGGGGGGGAGGGGGGGGGGGGGCGAATACGCAAAAGACGTCATCAAGGGAAGAGGGAGAGTAGTATTCATATTGAGTAATTGTATAGGGCAGAGAGGCATAAGGATCAGGGAAGAGAGGAGGGAGAGAGAAGGGAGGAGAGGAGGGAGGAGGGAGGAGGGAGAGGGACGAGGAGCAGGAAGGTAAGAGCGCGAACGTTCGAGGAAGTCCTAGGCGAAAGCGCCGTTCCTGAAGGAAGTCTCGGGCGGGAGACCACGACGGGCGGGCGATCCCCTGACGGGCGGGTCGGGCGGGTGGGACACTCAAGCGGGATGCTTGAGAGCGCAATTATTAAGTAAATGGTAACGGCGTCCTTGGCGCAGCGTGTATCCTGAGCGTCGAAAGCGCGGTTTCTGAATAAATTGCACGGAAGGCACAGGCGAGAGCGCAATTCCTGAATCAAATGTGTTGGGTTCTCTGGCGGGAGCGGGGGTCTTGATTAAATTGCGAGGAAGTCTGAAGTCTTGATTCAATTGCGACGAAGTCTCAACCGGGAGCGCCGTTCCTGAGTAAATTGTGAGGAAGTCTCAGATGGGAGCGGGGGTCTTGACTAAATTGCGAGGACTTCACCGGCGGGAGCACCGATCCGGAGTAAATTGTGAGGAAGTCTCAGGAGCGGGGGTCCTGAGTAAATTTGGAGGAAGTCTCAGGAGCGGGAGCCGTTGCTGTTGTAATCCAGGGGGCCAGCGGCACAGTTTGAGAACCAAGACTTCCCTTGTCAAACAACAGGGTGCGAGCGTCTTCGGGCACATTTTGATTTAGAAAAAGCACAATGCACCGGTGAGGGGGATCAACAATCAGTGTTCTTCAGAAATGAAAGTCCGAGAAACAGAATCCTCCCCGCGGGTCCCCACTTCAGCCACGCACCCGGGAACAAAGAATGAGCGTTCGGCCCCCTCGCTCTGACAATTCGTAGCGCATGATATGTAACATGCGCTAGGTAAAATAAGTTACGTAGAATACACTGGCGCTTACATTCAAGGTTAGAGACAACTCACCCGAAGGGGCCCCCCTTAGACCTTCTAGTATCGTTTCCTCCTGCGCCTCGCTTAGGGTTCGTGGCCAGGGTTCCGCCGCCCCTCGGGGGCCCGATCCGATTTTGAGGGCCGCGGCCCCGAGGAGTGAACCAAGCGTCCGAGTTTCGAGGGCTCGAATGAGGAGGAGGAGGAGGAGGAGGAGGAGGAGGAGGAGGAGGAGGAGGAGGGAGGAGGAGGGGGAGGAGGAGAGGAGGAGGAGGAGGATGAGGAGGAGGAGGAGGAGGAGGGAAGGGAGGACGAGGAGGAGGAGGAGGAGGAGGAGGAGCAGAACGAGGAGGAGGAGGAGGAAGAGGAGGAGGAGGAGGAGGAGGAGGAGGAGAGGGAGGGGTGGGGGGAGTTGGTAGGGGGGATGGGCGGGAGAAGGGGTGCGGCGCCTGACGTCTGCCTGTTCGCAGGATTCGGACGCATCCAGCACCGTGGAGGCCTGCACTCCAGATGCCGCCGCCTTCTCGACGGATGGCGAGTCGAAGGACGCCGAGGCCAACTCGCAGGATGGCTGTGCGCACGACGGCTCGAACCAGAGCGCGGGCGTGCTCATGGGGATCTTCCTCGTTCCGTGTATGCAGGAGGCCTTCGGGGAAAGAATGGATCATTCCTCCAGCAACCTTGAGGCAGCTGAGGGCACAAGCAGCGCTCTGATACGCGAGCCCCGCCTCCCGGGGCCTTTTCAGGCCCTCGGACCAGTCAGAAGCAGCCAGTGGCGAAAAGCTGGTCCCAGGGATGCGGTACGGTCGGACCGAGGTATAAGATCGAGGTCGGTTCGGGGAGAGTACCCTACTGTTCTTCGTGTTTGTTGGATGTTCCCATGCATCCTGGGGAGGGTACCTTTGGATGTTCGGTGTGTCTTGGCTGGCGGAGGGTTTCATGTTCTTGGAGGAGGTTTGGTGGTCACCATCGGTAGGCGTCGCGTCGTGCGGTTGTGCTTGTGGCCAGGCTTCACACGGCCACGTTTCGGCGGCGAGCGAGGAGAGGGAATTGAGAAGGAGAAGGCCTTCTCAGAAGGCGGCGGGGCTTCTCAGAAGGCCTCCAGCCTTCCGAGAGGCTTTCTGTGTCTTCGGGGACGGCTTAGAAGATTCCCCGGAAGGCCCCGGGACTTCCGAGCCTTCTGAGAAGGCCCGCCCCCTCTCATTTCCCTCCTGGGCTCGCCGCCACACGCGGGCCCTCCCTCCGCTCTGTCTGGAGTATGGCTGGCGCCGTCCCCTGGCACCCGAGGGGCTCCTCGCCTCGACCCCTGCGCCGACTTCTCTGGCTGCGTGGATGTTCTCCGGGGACGGGCGCTCTTCGCTGCTCAGCCACACGCACGAGTGACCCCTGGCTGGAACGACCTCTGGTGCGGGCCCAATGGGGCCCCCCGGTCGCCGAATGCGATGCGATGGCAGCGGCCTGCGCGCCCGGTGGTGTCCCCAAAGGGCTCCCTTTGGGCCGCGCACCACAGGTCACTCATGCCTAGGGTGGTCGAATCGGCGTGGTGGAGTGAGCGTCGCACAGCTGCCAATTCTGTGGGGCTGTGCGCGCCGCGTGGTTGTATCCTGGCGTGTCCAACTATCCGGCTGGGCCTTTCTCACCGAGCGGATCACATAATGTGAGGATTCGGTGCAGAAAAAAATATAACTCCAACGTCACACTCATGCCTTGGGTCAGTCTTGTGCGAAGCCGAGTCGGCAGAGCGGACGTCGAGGCCGTTTCCGGGGCGTGCCCCGTCGAGGCTGCTTCCGTCACTGCGGGTCGAGCCTTCTGGGCGCGCGCGGGCTCGTCCTCCTGTCTCGTGTCCTGCTCTGAGCACCGCTGCTCCCGCGAGCCGGGCGCCGGAGACTTCCGAGGCGGACCGAGCGAGGCAGCAGCAGGAGTGGAGAGTCGAAGCCAAATGGTATCATGTCTTGTATGGCTCGAGGCCTCCCAGATGGGGTCCGAGTAGATGGGGTCGGAGGATCGCGCCGCATCGCCGATGCATCGCCAGCGCGGCTCGATGCGGAGCCCGATTTGCTTCACGCCGATGCACTGCCGACGTCGACGATGCATCGCCGATGCATCGCCGATGCATCACCGATGCATCGCCGATGTATCGGCGATGCGGCGCGATCCTCCGACCCCATCTACTCCGACCCCATCTAAGAGGCTTCTAATGGCAGAGCTCTCGGAGCAGAGTATTTTCCCCAAGCAGGTTTTGCACTACGGGCTCTTTTTCCCCAACCAGTGCTTGCACTCAGGGGATTCTTACTTCCCGTTTCTCTTCTGAAGAACTGGGCCTGTCCGTCGCTCGGGCAGCTATGTGGCCGCCGTCGCCACCCCCTCGCCTCTCGTCGCCGCCTGTCGTTTGGGCCTGTCTGCCGCTCCGGCGGCTATGTGGCCGCCGCCTCGTCGCCCCGTCGCCGCCTCGTCGCCGCCCGTCGTCTGGGCCCGTGTGCCAGTCCGGCGGTTATGCACCTAATTGATTGTGTTTCCTCGAAAAGTATTAGGGTCCACCTTTCCCCGGACTTCACCGCTCAATTGTTTTACATATGATTCTGCACCGTCGTCCATCCTAAATATGAGTCCATACCATCCCAGCCAGGCCAGCATTCCCTCCCCTCGTCCTTTAGAAAAAACTATGCGCACACATTCGTTTATACATACATATATATATATATTTAAAAAAAAATGAATTCATGGATTGTTAAGAACCCTTGCAAAAGGTGGGACGAAGTGTGCGCGCGCGTATCGTCGCGCGCGCATGCTGAAATCCTTCAAAAACTTTAGGTTTCGTAGGAATTTAAAAAGCGAGTGTCCCGAGCACATATAAAGCCGCATAGTTTCGCAACAAGGATGTTCCACAAAACCCTGCGTTCGCGCTCCTGCGAATTCTCAAGGAAACCACAGGTTTTCGACATGCTCATGGCATGTTACCAAGCGGGCCTGTCGCGCGCGTGTCGAAATCGCTCGAGCGCCCCTGCGCGCGCGCCGTCGCAAGAATAGTTCGCAACAGTGGGACGAAGTGCACGCGCGCGTCGTGGCGGGCACATGCCGAAATCATTCCCAAACTTGCAGGTATCTTGAAGATTCCAAAATCGAGCGCCCCGAAAACATATAAAATTCACAGGGCTTCGCAACAAGAGTGTTCAAACAAAGGCTTGCGTTCGGGCTGTTGCGATTTACTTTTTGCAACCAAAAATAAGGGGTTCAACACTCTCATAACATGCAACCGAAAGGGCTCCTCGCGCGCGCATGTCGGAATCGCTCGAACGCCCTTGCGTGCGTGAGGTCGCAAGAATCCCTTCTAACAAATTGAACGAAGTTCGCGCGCGCGTCGTCGCGGGCGCGTGCGGAAATCATTTAATAACCGTGGGCGTCGTAAGGATGTCATGACCGAGTGCCCCGAAACATTGAAAACCACATGATGTTGCATCATTACTTTTCAGAAATGCCTGCGGTCGCGCACCTGCGATTTCTTCCGGAAGACATCTTGGGTATGTCAACATCGTCATCGAATTCGGCCACGCGAGTCCCTCCCGCCGCACGTCGAAATCAGTCGAACGCCCTTGCGCGCGCGCTGGGGGGGGCACGACCCGCATCAAAAAAATCCCACGCTGGCCACTCTCGCGTGTCGACCGCGGGCGCACGTCGCACGTGGAACTCCCTTCGAAACCTTCATCACCGATGCGAGGGCGCTGTCATCGTCCCCGGCGCGATCAGCATCGGCGCCGTCAGTGACTTTGCTGTCAGTCGTCGCTGCCCCCATCGCCCCCAGCATCGCTAACATCATCATGCCGCCCACCGCTGTCGACATTGCCATGATACCGCGCCCGCCCAAGTCACCGACTCGCACTGACGTGCCCCCCGGGGGCTGCCCAGAGGTCAGCGCCACCGCGGTCGCGTCGGCAGCGCCAAGCAATTCGGCCGTTGCGCGCGCAAGCGTGCGAGGGCTAGCGCGCCCGCAGAGATGCACCAGCCAACCCCGAGCACTCATCGCAATCGCCACCGCGCTGGTTTTGCAAACTAAGTTGCGGGCGGGCGGATGGATGATTGCGCGAGCAATGGAGCGGGCAACTCATTGCGAACAGAAATCAGATGCACAACGCAGATTTTCTTTCATGCACATGAGGCCCCCGGCACCCGCGCCCCCGCGCCCCGGATTTAATCGCTCGCTTGCCTCATTGCAGCGAGGTCGCGATTCTGCCCCATCGCCCGCCTGGCCAAACTGGCAACGCCCCCCCCGCCCCCGCCTTTTTCACCCCCTGCCGAAAATATTACGCGCGCGCTCGCTCATCCAAAAAACATTCATTGCGAAGAACCACTTTCCAAAACAAATAGCACACTCGCGCGCCGTCGCGCGCGCGTGCCCAATTCATTCAAAAGTTCTAGGTTGCGCAAAGATTTTAGAATCGAGGGCCCCGACAAGTTTCGCAATCAGCGTTTGTCTATGAATGTGTTGGGTTTTTTGTTAACAAAAAACATGCTTGCGCTCGGGCCATTGCGAATGCGTTTGAACCCCATCGGTTTTCCAACGTGTTCATGAAGAGCGACCAAACGGCCTTCTCGCGCGCGCATGTCCGAATCGCTCGAACGCAAGAACGCGCTGCAACAAATGAACGAAGCGCACGCGCGCGCGTCGTCGCGGGCGCATGCCGAAATCATTCGAAAAAGGTTGGGTTTCGTACGGACGTCAAAGCCGAGCGCCCCGAAAACATGTGAAAACACGCATCTTATGTAACATCGTGTGTTTGTATATGCTTGCGCCCGCGCTCTTTCGAATGCTTAACAAACCCATAGTGTGTGCGTTTAACAGAGTAATGTACACGCGGACAAGCGGGCCTTTCGTGCCGCGCGTCGAAATCAATCGAACGCCCCTGCGCGCGCGCGCTGGAGGGGGGCGGAGTGGGGCGGGTGGGCGTGGGGGGGGGGGGGCGCGATCCGCGCCCAATAATAGCGCGCGCGCCACTCGCGCGTCGGCCGCACGCGCATGTCGAACTCCTTTCAAGACCTGCATCGCCGACGCGAGGGCGCCGTCATCGTCGTCGGCGCGATCAGCATCGGCGCCGTCATTGGCCTTGCCGTCGTCGTCGTCATCATTGTCGCCAGCATCGCCGCCGCCATCATCGCGTCCACCGCTGTCGACGTCGCCATGCTACCGTGCCCGCCCAGGTCGCCAATTCGCACTGGAGAGCTCGCTGGGGGGCGCCCAGAGGTCAGCGCCACCGCAGCTGCGTCGGCAGCGCCAAACTAGCAAGCCGCCGCGCGCGCGAGCACGCGCGGGCTGGCGCGGCCGCAGAGCTGCACCAGCCAAGTCCACGCACTCATCTCAATCGCCGCCACGTAGGTTTTGCAAACCAAGTTGCGGGCGGGCGGGCGGGGCGATTGGGCGAGCAGTGGGGTGGGCAACTCACTTCGCGCGCGTCGAACTCCTTCCAGAAGTTTCATCGCCGACCCTAAGACGCCGTCGTCGACGACGGCTTGCGGAGCATCGGCGCCATCGCTGGCCGCGCCGTTGCCGTTGTCACCATCGTCACCAGCGTCGCCACCATCATCGTCGTCTCTACCGCTGTCGACGTTGCCATGATACCGCGCCCGCCCACGTGGCCGACTCGCACTGAAG